TTACTTTAAATGATCATAATAGTACAATTTTCTCAAATATCTTATTAATCTTAAACATTAATAAATAAAATAAATTTAAATATAAGATATAAGTTTACATTATTCAATATATTTAATCAAATGAAAACATATGTGATAAATAAATAATGTATTTTAACTTAAAATGATCACAATAAGTTAACTTGCAAAATAATATAAGTAATAAATTAATAATGTATTTTATTTAAAATAATCACAATAATAAAATACGCAAATAATGTGTTTTATTTATAGGACTGATATAGTTTTATTGATTATTTAATTTTGAATACTACTATGAATATAATATTTAATCTATACTTTAGAACTCACATAATTATAAATATAAAAATTTTTGTTTTATTACCCATATTTTTATTTAATTAAAAAAAATAAGAATATAAATTTATTATTTGTTTTTCATTTTTGTTTGATCTTTTTAATTATTTCACTTTATTTAATATTTTTAATAAAATAAATAATATATTTTATTTAAAGTAAGCACACTATAGAATATGCAAAAAATTTATAAATAAAAAAAAAAGATCAAACGAAAATGAAAAACAAATAATAAATTTATATTCTTATTTTTTTTAATTAAATAAAAATATGGGTAATAAAACAATATTTTTTTTATATTTATAATTATGTGAGTTCTAAAGTATATATTAAATACTATATTCATAGTAGTATTTAAAATTAAATAATCAATAAAACTATATCAGTCCTATAAATAAAACACATTATTTGCGTATTCTATTATTGTGATTATTTTAAATAAAATACATTATTAATTTATTACTTATATTATTTTGCAAGTTAACTTATTGTGATCATTTTAAGTTAAAATACATTATTTATTTATCACATATGTTTTCATTTGATTAAATATATTGAATAATTTAAACTTATATCCTATATTTAAATTTATTTTATTTATTAATGTTTAAGATTAATAAAATATTTGAGAAAATTTTACTATTATGATCATTTAAAATAAATGATTTTAATCTCATTGTATTCTAATAATTATAGCAAATAGAAAATATTCTGAAAATAATTCTCTATTTATAGAATTTTTATATTTTAAGTATAATATTCAAAAATTCATTAAATTGGTCTTTATATAAAGTTAATAAATCTTAAATATTAATTACAAATTAAAAAAAAATATGAATCGGAAGACTTCCAAAAAGTCTTCCGGTAAACAAACGAAAAAATATGAACCGGAAGACTTCCAAAAAGTCTTCCGGTAAACATACGAAAAAAATGTGAACCGGAAGACTTCCAAAAAGTCTTCCGGTAAACATACGAAAAAAATGTGAACCGGAAGACTTCCAAAAAGTCCTCCGGTAAACAAATAAAAAAATATAAAAAGATTAAAAAATAATAAATTTTTATACGAGGATATTTTGGTCCAAAATTTTTTAATGTAGGGGTATATGTACAAGTGTAGGGGTATGAGGTAAAACTTCCATAAAATAAAAAACATAGAAAAATAGTAAAGAAAAGGGCATGAATAACAGGCCCAGGGTGCTTGAGCTCAGTCCAAAAGGCCAAGAGAGGGAAGTTTTACCCAATACCCCTACACTTATACCTATACCCCTACATTAAAAAATTTTGGACCAAAATATCCTCGTATAAAAATTTATTATTTTTTAATTTTTTTTATATTTTTTTATTTGTTTACCGGAAGACTTTTTGGAAGTCTTCCGGTTCACATTTTTTAGTAGGTTTACCGGAAGACTTTTTGGAAGTCTTCCGGTACATATTTTTTTGGTCTGTTTACCGGAAGATTTTTTGGAAGTCTTCCGGTTCATGTTTTTTTTTTAATTTGTAATTAATATTTAAGATTTATTAATTTTATATAAAGACCAATTTAGTAAATTTTTGAATATTATACTTAAAATATAAAAATTCTATAAATAATTCTATAAATAGAGAATCATTTTCAGAATATTTTCTATTTACTATAATTATTAGAATACTAGGATTAAAATCATTTATTTTAAATGATCATAATAGTAGAATTTTCTCAAATATCTTATTAATCTTAAATATTAATAAATAAAATAAATTTAAATATAAGATATAAGTTTACATTATTCAATATATTTAATCAAATGAAAACATATGTGATAAATAAATAATGTATTTTAACTTAAAATGATCACAATAAGTTAACTTGCAAAATAATATAAGTAATAAATTAATAATGTATTTTATTTAAAATAATCACAATAATAAAATACGCAAATAATGTGTTTTATTTATAGGACTGATATAGTTTTATTGATTATTTAATTTTGAATACTACTATGAATATAATATTTAATCTATACTTTAGAACTCACATAATTATAAATATAAAAAATATTGTTTTATTACCCATATTTTAATTTAATTAAAAAAAATAAGAATATAAATTTATTATTTGTTTTTCATTTTTGTTTGATCTTTTTAATTATTTCACTTTATTTAATATTTTTAATAAAATAAATAATATATTTTATTTAAAGTAAGCACAGTATAGAATATGCAAAAAATTTATAAATAAAAAAAAGATCAAACGAAAATATAGTAAATAGAAAACATTCTATTTATAGTAAATTGGTCCTAGTATTCTAATAATTATAGTAATTATAGTAATTTTCGTTTTATTTATAGGACTGATATAGTTTTATTGATTATTTAATTTTGAATACTACTATGAATATAGTATTTAATCTATACTTTAGAACTCACATAATTATAAATATAAAAAATATTGTTTTATTACCCATATTTTTATTTAATTAAAAAAAATAAGAATATAAATTTATTATTTGTTTTTTATTTTTGTTTGATCTTTTTAATTATTTCACTTTATTTAATATTTTTAATAAAATAAATAATATATTTTATTTAAAGTAAGCACAGTATAGAATATGCAAAAAATTTATAAATAAAAAAAAGATCAAATTACTATTTACTATAATTATTAGAATACTAGGACCAATTTACTATAAATAGAATGTTTTCTATTTACTATATTTTCGTTTGATCTTTTTTTTATTTATAAATTTTTTGCATATTCTATACTGTGCTTACTTTAAATAAAATATATTATTTATTTTATTAAAAATATTAAATAAAGTGAAATAATTAAAAAGATCAAACAAAAATGAAAAACAAATAATAAATTTATATTCTTATTTTTTTTAATTAAATAAAAATATGGGTAATAAAACAATATTTTTTATATTTATAATTATGTGAGTTCTAAAGTATAGATTAAATACTATATTCATAGTAGTATTCAAAATTAAATAATCAATAAAACTATATCAGTCCTATAAATAAAACACATTATTTGTGTATTTTATTATTGTGATTATTTTAAATAAAATACATTATTAATTTATTACTTATATTATTTTGCAAGTTAACTTATTGTGATCATTTTAAGTTAAAATACATTATTTATTTATCACATATGTTTTTATTTGATTAAATATATTGAATAATGTAAACTTATATCTTATATTTTCTATTTAATTTATTTATTAATGTTTAAGATTAATAAGATATTTGAGAAAATTCTACTATTATGATCATTTAAAATAAATGATTTTAATCCTAATATTCTAATAATTATAGTAAATAGAAAATATTCTGAAAATGATTATCTATTTATAGAATTTTTATATTTTAAGTATAATATTCAAAAATTTACTAAATTGGTCTTTATATAAAATTAATAAATCTTAAATATTAATTACAAATAAAAAAAAAACATGAACCGGAAGACTTTTTGGAAGTCTTCCGGTAAACAAACGAAAAAAATATGTACCGGAAGACTTCCAAAAAGTCTTCCGGTAAACATACTAAAAAAATGTGAACCGGAAGACTTCCAAAAAGTCTTCCGGTAAACAAATAAAAAAATATAAAAAAAATTAAAAAATAATAAATTTTTATACGAGGATATTTTGGTCCAAAATTTTTTAATGTAGGGGTATAAGTATAAGTGTAGGGGTATGGGGTAAAACTTTCCCAAGAGAGTCAACAGAAGTCCAACATTTAAACCCGAAATCCAAACCCGTCGTGCCGTCAATCTCGTTCTCGCGCATCAAAACCTCTCTTGGCTTCATCACGATTCACTCTCGTTTCTGTGCTCTCACTTTCGTCTCTCAAATCTCGGTTTCAGTTTTGTGGCTCGTTTATTGTTGTGAGTGCTGTGGTTTACAGTGAAGTTTGAAGGTTGTGAATAGTTGTTGGGAGGTTGCAGGGATGAGTCCGTGAAGGTGTTGAAGGAGATTTGTAGTTTGTGTTGAGGTGAGGATGAACAATGAAGGCTGAAGAGTTTTGGTCTTGAAGGTTATTGAAAGTTTGTGAGAGTTGTGAGGATTCCTTTTGGGCTGTTTGCAGAGATATAGAAATTGAGGTTGAAGAACGTTGTGACTTGCAGTGTATTATGGTTTGTGTTTTGCAGGTTTCTTTTGAAAGTCTGTGAAATGGTTGTGCGTATTGTTTGTGGTGGAAAGGGATGAGCAGAGATTTGTGTATTCTCTATTTTTATGCGTGAGGAGTGTGGTGCGTGGAATGCATTTTGTGTGTTTGTTGTAGAGTGAGGAATGATGCGAGGAAGTTTGTGACGTTGCAATTTGTGTCGTGAATGTGTTGTGTCATTTCGTTTTGCATATGGCTCATTTGAAGGCTTGGATGTGTAGCATGTGAAGCTTGGTACAAAGCTTGGAATGCGTGGCTGGCTTTATGCATTTGTGTGAGACTCATGAAGCTTGGTTAGATGTAATGAAATAGTGGCTTGTATTGTGGCTGCTTGTAGTGACCCGTAACTGAAAATTGTGGTTTGTGGACCTGTAAACCCATTTTGAACCGAACCGTTCTTACATTTTCTATTTGTTAAAACGGATTTCGAATCACACAAACTTCTCTATACTTAAACCCTTCACTGCCACCGCTTCATTTTTGAGTGTGGTGTGATGGGTGAAGGTGCAGAATACAAGAGCGATTTGAAGAAGGAGAAGGTGTTGAAAGCCTTATTAGAAGATCCAATACTCAGTGATGTACCAAAAAATCCATCTTTGGAAGATGTGGAAACCCTGCTTGGACTTGAATTGGGTAGTGCAATGCGAATTTCGGTTTTGAAATTGGATTCTTCTTCGTTTGATGTGATTGTTATGAATACGGCAACGGTGAAGGTTTTGAAACTTGCTATCAAGAAGAAGGTGAATTACATGGAACAATCTAGCATGGGTCATCGTCACATTTCTTGGTCAGTTTCTCGTTTATTTAGTTGATTTTGTTTATGGAAATTGTTATTTTGTGGTTAAAACTGTTGTGATTTAATTGCAGGAAGAGTGTGTGGGCTAATTATTGTTTGGCATTTGATAACAATAAGCTCTTAAATGATGATGATGTGCTTCAAGATTTGGGTGTAAGGAATAATTCTCAGGTTTGTTCTACTTTTCTAATGATGTTTGAAACTGTGAAATTGTTGTAGTTTTTTCAATCTATTATTACAAATTCATTAGTTTTATTTTTTTCTCACAGCTTCAAATTGTTGAATGATGCATTATGTATTGGGGGAATGGGGTGTAGTTTACTGATATTTTATGCCAATGCAGGTTCATTTTGTACCCTATGTCATGACAAAAGAATCTAGAAGACACTCAAAAAGGAGAAATCATAGATTTTTTCATGGTCTTAGTAAGCTTTTCTGATCAAAGAGTTTAACCTCAATACCTCATCGGTTTTGATATCGGTGTTGGTTGAGTATTCTATCTCATTACTTGCCTTAAAAGGGCTGAGCATGCCCAACAACAGCTTCGTCGTTGATTTTTATTTCAGGTTGTCTGTAGTCTTAGCGACTGGCATTTCCTAGCATAGAATTAGATACGCTAGTGTGACACTCATTTTTGTCAGAACCTGTACTGTACTACATGGAAAATTATATGTTTTGTATTTGTACTTTAACAGAGGATATTGTTTGAAATTCCTGTGTTGAACTGAAACTATCTTGTGAGAAACCAGTAACATATTGGAAGTGTATAATTGTTATATATATTCTAGCTTATGTTTATTCTATTGGTGGAGGTTAAGATGGTGAACTATATTTATTGGTGTGGTGAACTAAAAAGTTACTTACAATTGCAAGTTAAACAAGTTTTTTTTTTCTTTTTCAATTTTACTATAGAACAGTCAGTATAAGCTTGCAATTCTTAGTCTAGCAAACGCCTTTGACCTCAAGATTGACACTTATCAACTTGAGTGTAACAAGGAATCTGGTATAGTAGTAACAAGGAACTTATCAACTTGAGTGTAACAAGGAATCTGTTATAGTAGTAACAAGGAACCTGTTATAGTAGGTTAACATATCATCTATATCCGACATATTTGCATTTTTTGTAAAATATCTAGTAACTACTTTCTAGATTTTTCAAAAATACGGAAATTCTTCGTAAAAGTTCTAGAAAACCTTAATTTTTTATCGAAAAATTTGCAAATGTCTGGCATTTTTGCATTTTTTTGTAAAATATCTGGTAAATTTTCAAAATTGAACATTGAATTTTCATCTCCATCCCTTCCCAGATTTTTGCAAACAAATCTCAAAACCAAAAACGTCCACACGTACCCTCATCCAAATTCTTACTCGATCACGAATATGAACTCTTACTCGATCACGAATATGAACTCCGAATAAGCAGATCAAACACAAATCATGCAAATCAACCCTTTTCCCCAAAACGAACCCTAAACCCCTTTCACTAGATTCTTCGCAGATTACAACATGGTTATATCGATTGAAGGCAAAATAACAACAAATATGCAAGAAATAACGTAAAGCAACATGAAAAAGAGAAGGAAAATGAAGAAAAAAAGAACCTCGCGGAAAAAAAAGAGAAGGAAAATGAAGGATAATGAAACTCAATTATAATTCAGTTGAACTTGTTTTATTTTGCTTTTAATTTGAAATTTGTATTCTTATGGTTGTGATGGATGTATGATATGGTAATGGATGTAATGTTGTAACTCACGCTACTCATGTACTCATTCTTAAAAAATAACAGAATTTGTTTAAATTGAATTTCAATTCATCTTCTGCTTCAACTTCAATTTTGGTTTTCATGTTGTGATGAATACATATGTGTATGCGTGATATTATGGATGATGTGGGATATTGATGAATGAATATAACGTGATGCTGCTGCTTCCATTGCTTTTTTCATTTTTATTTCAAATTCAATTTTGCTTTTTTTGGTATTTTCTTGCTTTTGTACTTTTGTTAGATGATTGTATAATGAAAGCATGACATGATGTTGAATTAAATGATGATGAGGTAATATGAACAAAGAGTTCAATTTGCATGAGGATGAGGTGAATTCATATGTGAAAAAAGGCAATGGAATGTGATTTGAATTCACCATAACCTTGTTGTTTTTTTTTTTAATTAAAAGGATGATAATATGATGATGTTGGATGATAATGATATTGTTGTTTAAGAAAAAATGGAATGTACTTTGGACAATGTTGATGATAACATGAGATGAAAATGAAAAGGATTTGGTTATATGATTCACTTATCCAAAATTTTCTTGTCCCTTTTTATGATGCACAAAATGACATAATGAAAGAAATAAACCTGAGACTTCCATTTATTTTGAAAAAGACTTTTATCTTTTAAAATGACAAAACTAAAAATGCAATGCAATAAAGATATGAAATTGAAATGATCAAATTGGAAAACTGTACAAATTCTCTTTATTGAATTTTATTTTGACCTTGATGAATCATGCTTGAAAAATGATATGTGTGCAATGATGAAATGAAAAGAAACTGGGGAGGAAAAAATTAGGGCATGACATTAGGCACATAGATTCTGAAAGCCAAGAGTGATTCTCAGTTGGTAGCAAAATAGGTTGTTGGGGAATGTCAGATGAAGGATCCCAAACTCATTAGATATCTAAAAAAGGTACGTGATATATTTAAGCTCTTTAAAATGTTTGAGATAACGCATATATTCATGAGGCATAATTTTAGGATGCACCTCCTTTCTAAGCTTACCAGCTCAAAGAGAACATAGGTATAACTACACGATAATTTTGGAGGCGTTGCCCATTTAGTTAGTTGGATGGCGCCCATAATACATTATCTTCAATACGACAAGTTACCACAAGATGAATTGGAGGAAAAGAAAATATGAAAATATGCTACAATGTACATTCTGATGGTAGGAAGGCTCTATAAAATGGTAAAATCCTCTCCCATGTTAAAGTGCTTGGGGGAGCAAGAAATCACTTTAGTCCTCACTAAAGTATTTGTGCCAATCACATTGGCGAGTGAGCCTTGGCCCATAACTTGTTGAGAGTGGGATATTATTGGCCTACCTTAATGAAGGGCAATATAGTGTTCAACAAAAAATGCAACAAGTCTTAGAGACACACCAATCTCCATCACACACCAGTTGAACTACTCCCTTCTGTCATGATACCCTGGCTCTTTTACTAGCGGGGTATGGATGTTCAAGGTCCTTTTATCTTGGCTCTCAGTCAGCTAAAGTTCTTGATCGTAGGAGTATATTATTTCATGAAATGGATAAATACCGAAGTGGTATCCAAGATCACATTGAAAATGGTTCATTGTTTCTATTAGCAGAGAATCATGTGCAAGTATGGGTTTCCAGAAATCATCGTTTTGGAAAATGGAATTCAGTTTGCCAGAACCTCCATAGTTTATTTATATCACGAGAGTGCAAACTAATTTTATTTTTTGTTGTCCACCTAAAGGTGAATGGCCAAGCATAATCAACAAATAAGGTAATTCTGAAAGGAATCAAGAAGAAGTTGGATGAAGCCAAAGGACTATGGCCAAAACACTTACACCAAGTATTATTGTCGTATAACACCGTTCATCATTTGACCACCAAGGATACTCCCTTTTGTATGGTGTATGAGGCAAACACCATGTTGCCTATAAAACTAACACGCCTTCCTGATGACACCCCTAGTTCAATATAGAGAAGAATGAGGCATGTTTAAGATGTGTCACCAATATGATCGATGAAACAAGAGATGTTGTCCACATTCTTGAATTCTCCGCCAAGCAGAAAGAGAGCAGAAGATATAAATCTGACATGGTTCGAAGGAAAATGCAGGAGGGTGACTTGGTGTTGAGACAGGTCGTCGGGCCTACCCAAATAGGAAAGCTACAACCCATTTGTGAAGGACCATATCGGATCTATCGGAAGCTACCTCATGGAGCCTATAAGCTTGATGGGTTAGATGGCGACTTATTCCAAAAACTTCAAACTTAGTCAATCTAAGATATTATTATAGTTGATTGTGAAAAATGTGAGTTGCTTGTGAATGCATGAATTTCTGTGAAAAACTTTTATCATTTGCAAACATGTTATTTTTGCTTTACTTAAAATATGAATGTTAGACTTCCAATGGAATATTATTGCTTCCTTAAAAAAGAGCAATAAAATGTTGGACATCCATTAGGAGATCCTACCTGCTTTAAAAAAATGGAAATATGAATGTTGGACTTTCATTAGAAGACCCTTGCCGCCTTAAAAAGGGAAATTTGAATTATGGACTTCCACTAGAAGATCCTTGCTACCTTAAAAAAAGGGCAATATGAATGTTGGACTTCCATTTGAAGATCCTTGCCATCTTAAAAAGGGCAATACGAATGCCAGATTTTCACAAGGAGTTCCTTGTCGTCTTAGAGAGTAGTAACATAAATGTCATCTTTATATAAGACAACTAAAGTCTCGCCTGAGGGACTCAACTAAAGTCTCTCCTGGAAGACTGAAATAAAGTCTCGCTTGGGGGACTCAACTAAAGTCTCGCCCGAAGGATTAAACTAAAGTCTTTTCTGGAGGCTCAACTAAAGTATCTCTTAGGGGACATAACTAATGTCTCACTTGAAGGGTTCAATTGAAGTCTCTCCCGAGGGATGCAACAGTGTCTCGTTTGGAGACTTAACTAAAGTCTCGCTTGGGGACTCAACTAAAGTTTTGTCAAAGGAAACTAGTTGGGGGCCTGTTAAAGTATTATGTTTAAAGGCCCTTCTGGGGTGTCTGAGTAAAGGAAGAAAAGTTAAAACACTTCACCCTTTATAAGTCCCCGTGTTTGATGAATTATTTATTGGTATATCCTAAAGGGATAAATAAGAGACGAGGCGGAGACAGAGTACTTGAGTTGAGTCTACAACGCCTATCTGGTCGCTCGTTTTCTAGTTTAGGTATCGTTTACTAGATGTGCCGCCCATTTTCCCATAACATATCACCTTCCTTGCCTTTGAGAATGATCGCCCAATATGGGAAAGTGTGGAAGTGACATGTCTCCATTCTGTAACAATTAAGAATAAGTCTTTTGACCATGTTCTCGAAAACATTGGTGGATTAACCATCCATTACTGAACCCTCTCAATAGCAGTTATTACTCCCAAAGAGTCTAAGATCCAGGCCCGCGATGATTTAAATACCTCAATGCTAGAGTGAGAAGAAAAATTTGACTCTCATAAAAAAAATCACATATACATAGCTTTTCACCCCTTACATGAGTTATCTTTCAACCTCCTGACATATCTTAAAACCTCTCTAACCAACTCTTAATCACCATAGTTTATTACATATTATACTTTTTCACAAGTACAATCACTTAAATAAATTATTTTATGAAAGTTTCTTAAAAATCAAATTTAAAAATAATAATAA